ATAATTATTTAAAATTTTTTTCTTAAATATTATTTTAAAATTTACTTCATTAACCTCATAAAAAATAATTATTTTTTATGATAACTTTGTTTATAATTTATTTTAAATTTTTTTCCTTAAATATTATTTTTAAAATTTTAATTAATATTTTAATTTAATAATACGTTAAAATAAAAAAAATATATATTCATATTTTTATTTATATAATACGTTAAAATAAAAAATAATATATATTCATCATAATATATAAAAATAATTATACCTATAATAGTCATTTTATATTTTAACAGTAACTGCTACTAAAATTTTATAAAACACGAATAATAATTAGTTAACCGCTATCAGCCATCAGCCCTCAGCTATCAGCAACCTTTATCAACTATTAGCTGGTATGAACCGCTGAACCAAACAGGCTCCAAATTTACTGAAAAGACCACTAAATTCATAGATTTCTACTAAAATTTTTGGGATGAAGGATTTCAGCTTCCCTAATTGGCTAAAGCGTTATTCTCTGGCGTGAATTTTCATCTTTCACGTATGTGTTTGTGTTGAGAAGCAAATATATATGCATATTGCCTTTGGAAATATAGAGCTAATTTTTCTTTAGGTGTTCATATTTTGGAGGATCCTCCTTTAAATTTTATAACTTTAATCATTCATGATGTAGTTATTATGTCTTACTGTTCTCAGTTTTCTTCAATATTACTAAAAGTAAAGCATTATTAGCCACACCAAACCCAATTATATATAGTCAAATTGTACATGATGATCATTATATATATCTTAGGAGTTACTATAATTAAAGCTATCACCTATATCTATAGCTATCACCTAAATTCTTTTTAATTTTAATATTTTATAAATAATTTTTTTAGTTTAATTTTGTTAGGGATTTATTTCAATAAGAGTATTTTTTGGCCAATATAAGCATCAACTAATATTAGGTCCCTTCATTCGAAAGGGTAATCTAGCTTAAAGAATTGAATCCTCGTAAAGATTAACATTTATATTATCGTTATGGAAATGTACACGCTGTAGAAAAATTACGCTATCATTATTAAGCATCTCTAGTTTACTATGCTCGAATTAAATTATACTCGTGTCAAGTCAATTCACTAAAAAATAAAGAGCTCCTAGTTAGTATTCATAAATATTAACTTTAAACACTTCAATATTAGTTTTCTCAAATATTATAATAATCGTAAAAAGAAAAGAAATTTTGTTTTGAAAGAAAAAATTATATTGGGGCAAATCAGAATTAACAGTAGTAGAAATAAAATCAGAAGGACGTGACCCACTCCTTAAAACCCGACATAAATAATATTAATTGACTTATTTTTTAGTATTGATATGAGCTTATGCCCATAATGTCTATACAGATTCTTGATTAATAAGGAAGCAATATAACTTAAACACTAGTTCAATCCTAAGCCTATGATTAAGTAGATGGACATGAATTGGTTCGCCTTAAGGTCCATTGCTACTAATTGATCATTAAGAAAACCTTTATTTAATAACTATAACTCTAAACTCAACTATTAATTTTACCTTGCAATTGTTTGCATCCATACGTCTCCTATCAAAATGGAAGCTTTCAATTTCAATGATTATCGATAATAATAAGTGTTAGGACTAGTTGTTATGAGAAAATTTTAAATTATTGAAGGGGATTTGGTGGAGAAATATTGTGTTAGTTAAAAGATTTTTAATCTTTTTTTATTTGAAATAAGTGTTTTTGTATTTTTATGATTGTGTTCGGTAATATGTTTTTAACTAGCTTTTAGTGTTTTGAACTATAAAGGCACATGGTTATGTTGGGTAACATGTTTTTAAGTAGTTTTTACCAAATATTATAAAGTCACATGGTTGCCGAACACAACCATGGTTGTGTTTGATAAAACGTTATATGAGTTATTTTTTTATAAAAAGCTCTTTTAACATCTAAAAATTAATTCAAACGCTATGTTATCGAACACTTTAGGCAGCTGTTATTGAATACAACCTTAGATATTAAGGTAACATTTTAGAAAAAGTTAATGCATATAACGTTTAGCTTTTAGCTTTTATGAATATCTTTTATAAAAAGTTAACTCATATAACGTTTAATTTTTAGTGTTTTATAAAAAGTTACCCAAACAGCTAATAGCTATTAAAACAATTAATTTTACTGAACAACTGCTATCAATGGAACACGTGTTAAATTTGTATAATGGTGCCAACTATATTGATTTAAGATTTTCAATTTTAGTTATAAAATACCTAGACTTTCATGGGATGATGAGTCAATCTTATGAACATCACTTTTATTATTTTACGCCATTAATATATTCGACCTAATCACAGGCTGTCCATAGAGCCTCTAATTAAATGATAGTTATGTCCATTTAGAGAACACGTCAATCAAATTATATATTCAAATTTAAAATATAGTTTGATGAGAAAAAACCCTAACAGCCCATGTGAGCATCATCTAAGTAGGTCCATTTCTTTATATGAAAATTATCAAATTTTGTTTGGTAGGATATATTTTGCATCTTTATCATTCGAATGAACGAATTTGATGACAGAAAAAGACAAGTAGAAGCTACATGGACCTTGTTTTTTTTTTTTTTTTTTTTTTTTTGCATGGGACCTTGCTTTTTTTTTTTTTTTTTTTTCTTTCGCAAAATTATTGTAGAGTTTTTTTTTTTTTTTTTTTTTTCTTTCGAAAATTATGGTAGAGAAAGATGAAGTTGGCAAATATTAATTGTAACAATATGATATAAGCCTTAAAACTGTCAAGATAAAGGAAATTCAATGGCGCACACAGTGACCCAAAGGGTTTTGCTTTCTAGAATGCTACTCGCCTATTCTTTTATTATGACCTAGAAATAAAAGTTAACAAGGAAAAGAAAATTTCAAAACATTAAAGAATAAAATATAAAAAAAATTCACTTTATAGGAGGTAAAATTTAAAGTTACAATTTTAAAAGAAAAAAATTTAAAAAAAAATTCTGGCCTTAGGGCAACGGTCACTTTTAGCCCCTGCCTTGTTTATTACGGATTAAATTGAAGGTTTAATTTATAATTTTACAATTTTTTTTTGAGATTATTTATAATTTTAGAATTTGATAAACAATTTTAATTTTGTTAATCAGAAGTTTATAAATTAAACCTGATCATGACATTTGTCACTGCCTTCAACTAGACGGCACTTGTTTTATATTTTTTGACCTTTTATAGGGTTCCCATCGAATAAAATAAAGGGGCATTCATTTATGTCATTCTCTTAAAAATTCGAACAATTTTTAGCCAAGCAGGACAACTCATAATTTAACATTAAAGCATCTGCCAAAAGATACCAAACCTATCGACCTTGGTTTGAAAGTCCTTAAGAATTACTAATACAATTTACAAACATGACATATCATAAAGATATGTTGGAGGAGCCCATGATGCGATTGTGTAACCCGTATTATTATTTCAGTTCACCGGATGTCCTAATACCAATGAATTCGAATGTAGTAATTACTATGGAACATGGTGAACTCTTTTTAGCTCTTTAGGTATAATCTAATTCTAGAACTTTCAGGAATTGTTTTGGAAAAAAAAAATATATTGATTTATAATATTGTGATTCATTATGAGAGACTCTTGAACAATAATAATAATAATAATAATAATAATATAATTTAATGGTATGATGTGTGGACAAACTTGTAGTTTCTCTATATGAATGCTTAAATCACATGCAGAGATATAATAAGTGCAGAAGAAATCATGGAAGAAACTTCTTTCAAAATCTTGAGAAGAAAACTTATTAAGGAATAGAATGAACCAAAACCAACCATATTTTTGGAAGAAAGCACCCATGAAAATTTTATGCCTCTTTGCCTTTAAATTGTCCAACGACACAGAAACAGAAATTCTACCAAAATGGGTATGGGGATAGTCAGTCGTTTTCCACTACAAAAAAAATGTGGGATCCACCCGCATCGAAGGATTATATCATATCATGGCTTGCCCTGTATAATTACGTGAATTTCTCAATCTAGAGAGAAGATGCCAAGCTTTGCTGTCAACATTGTCTAGAAGAGCATCATGGCATGGGGGTTCTCTCAACTTGGCTAACCCTACAATGCCATCAAAATATGGTAGGTGGGGTGGGGCTGCTAGTGGCGGTGGATTGTTGGGAATGGTGGCTTTGTGGTCTCAAGATGACAAAGAACTTTGGTTTTCGATACTTTGGCTGTCCTTTTGTGCTTCTTAAAGAAACTAGCACTTTGTTTGGGAGAAGGGAAAATGGGGGGAAAGAATACAGAAATATCCAAAAGAAGAAATCTCAGCATGAAAGAGTTTTGCAGCTTTTTACAAGAAATGTGAAGAAAAATGAAAAGAATATAAAGAAGCGCAAACAGTCAACAAAAGAAAGTTCTACAAGAAGGAACAATCGGAAAGAGATTTCTCTCTTTTGATTCTCCAATTTGACTTGCTAACTTTTTTAAGCTTTCCATTAATCATGGCATCACAAGATCAACAGTCCAAGATTCAATGGGTTTTGAAAGTTTTTGCCTTTAATTCAAAATTTCAAACCAACAGCACATGGGGCTAATCCCAACAATCTTCAATCTAATGAGTGAAAAAATACAAATTAAAGAATTAACCAGCCACCAATCAAGGAGGAAAGGGTGAATAAACAAAAAGAAAAGGAGAAATAGGAAGACCTTTTGGGTCCCACCACCATAATTAGAATATATTTAGTCCTGATCTACAATTAATAAGTTCCATCCATAAGATCATACATGTAATGTAAAGATTTTTTGTTTCCCACAGAAGCAGGAAATTAGTAGTTCAATAGCAAAAATATCAAGAAATTCAAATTTGATGATTGATATCTATGATCATCAAAACACAATTCCAAAACGCAGCCCAATTATTGAACTGAATCTAAAGAAATGACAAACAAGAAGCACATGGAATAACTGGATTCCTGACATTAGATTCAGAACACAAGATTGTGTATATATATATATACTTTGGAGGATTTTATTAATAATAGATCTAAAATGAAGAACATGATCAAACAAACTAACCAAAATACAACTGCGCAGTCCTCCATTGACATCACAAAGGGGAAAAAAATTAACGAACACAGAAGAAGAAAGAAAATGGGACTGAATTCTGCAAATCAATACATGTAAAATGTTCATGATTATACTATAAAACTGAAAAATAATTGAAAAAAGAAAGAAGCAAAAGAAACAAATGTATGATATAAAAGAAGAGGTAATAACAATAAAAAGGCCGAAACCAGCAGCAGCAATAGCCCTGATTATGGTCTCCATTCCATCACTATACATACAACTTTCTGTCTGCAAATCTACTTTCTCTGCCATTTTTTATTTTCAGACTCAAATATCCCATAACAATTTCGAATAAATATGGAGAATTTCTCCTCTTACCTCTCTGTCTTTGTTCTCTGCTTTTCTTTCCTTAATCAACAATGCTGATAATGGCCATCTAGAGAAACTCCTTTTGCTGGCGGACAATGAATAGTAAAAACAGCACAGACCCTTTCCCAAATCTTCTTGTTATTCCTTTCTCTAAGAGCGACGAGAATTGCCCAAAGAGAAAAGAAGCCCTCATTAGAAATTTGTAAAACTTGTTTTTGGGTTTGCTAGTTGATGAATTTGATGAAAGGTTAGAGGAGAAAATTCTCAAAAGAATCAATAGTAGGGCGGAGGAGGAGGTGATGCGTATGAGACCCCAGTAATTGGTGGCAATGGCCCCTCGTACACTGGAGTTGGAGGTGGAGGAGAAGGGTAAACTGGTGGAGGAGGTGGAGATGCATAGACTACCGGCGGTGGAGGTGGCGGTGGCTTGTAAACAATTGGTGGTGGTGGTGGTGGTGGTGATGGTGAAGGTGGCGGTGGTGAATACTCTACACATGGTGGCGGCGGAGGTGGTGGTGGCTCTATACAAGGGGGTGGAGATGGTGGTGGTGGTGAATGGACCGGAGGAGGTGGAGAATGGACAGGTGGAGGTGGCGGTGGTGATAAGTATGGATAGATAGGTGGGGGAGGTGAATGTGGCGGTGGGGGTGAATGTGGGGGTGGAGGTGAATGTGGAGGTGGGGGTGGCGAATGTGGTGGTGAGGGTGGCGGTGGAGAGCTGTAATAGTAAGGAGTTGGCGGTGGTGGAGAAAATATTGGAGGTGGTGGAGAATTTGGTGGTGGAGGCGGTGGAGAATTTGGTGGTGGAGGTGGTGGGAGACGGACACAGGGAGGCAATGGTGAGGGCGGTGGTGGAGATGGAGGAGGAGGCGATGGTGGAGGAGGTGAAGGTGGAGGTGGAGAAGGTGGGGGTGGTGGTGGAGAGTAAACTGGTGGAGGAGGTGGTGGTGGTGAAGGTGGCGGGGGAGAAGGAGGTGGTGGAGGAGGTGAGTACACTGGCGGTGGTGGTGAAGGTGGAGGCGGAGGTGGAGAATAAACAGGCGGGGGAGGTGAAGGCGGAGGAGGTGGTGAATATACTGGTGGTGGAGGTGAAGGCGGTGGTGGAGGCGGAGAGTAAACAGGTGGTGGAGGTGGAGAGTAAACAGGTGGTGGTGGTGATTGTGGAATATAAACTGGTGGTGAAGGCGGAGGAGGAGGTGGCAAAGAAGGAACAAAAGGCTTACATCTAAACGAGTTACAGTTCACAGGCTTGGACAAAAACGCCTGACATTGCGCCGTAGATCTCTGTACTGGCCTACCCGGCAAACAGTTCCTTCTATCTTCAAATCCCTGAAGACTCAAACAAGCCGGAGGCTCTCCGGTGAAGAAATTATAAGAAAATGTAAAGTTCTCCAAATTCGGTAACTGACAAATGCTCGCCGGAATATTCCCACTCAACAAGTTGTGAGCTACATTGAGCTGCTCAAGACTAACCAAACCTCCAAAGGAATCCGGCAAAGGACCCAACAACTGATTAAAGCTCACATCAAAAACAGTCAAATTCTTCAGCATACCAATCTCCGGCGGCAAACAAGACTTCAAGTTATTGTTCATGAGAATAATTTCGTTCAGATTAGACATATTACCCAAACTTGAAGGAACACACCCATGGAATCTGTTATTAGCCAAAACGATAACTGAAACCGGAGAATTACCAAAATTATCTGGAATATCAAAGACGAACCTGTTGTGGTTGATAAAGATTGCATCTAAATCTTTATCAAACAGTTCTTTCGGTACAGTCCCTTCAAATTCGTTGAATCTCAGATCCAAGAATTTAAGCTTTGGTAGCTTAAGAACCACCTGAGGAAATTTCCCAGCGAACCGGTTGTTGCTCAGATCCAACTCAAACAGTAATGTCATTTCTTTAAACTTGTGAGGAACAGTTCCACAAAATCTGTTTGAATTTATGTGAAACAATGCAAGATCTACTAGCAACCCGAGCTCTTCCGGTAAGTAACCGGCTATGTCACCGTGGTTGAGGTCAATGCCGGCGACGGTTCGAATAGTTTTGTTATCAGGAGCTGGAGCACAGAAAACTCCAGTGTAGTCGCAGACATTGGGTCCGACCCAATCAGAAGTGAGATTCTGAGGATCAGAAAGAATAGCTTGTTTCCAAGCTTGTAATGCTATGTAAGCATTTTTAAGCCTGGGATTTTCGAAAACAAGAGAAGGGTCAACTGTGACCTTCTCTCCTCTGTCGCCATATTCATCTCTGTAGTAAAGAAGCTGGCGCTTCTTGATGTACATGGCTTCTGCATCACTAAGGCGGCCATTGAAGGAGAAACTACTTGGGACCTGGTCTGCAGAACAAAGGCACACAATTGTGCCGAGAAAGCAAAGAAGAAGAAGAGAGGAGTAAGTCTTCTTCTTCATCTCACATGAGACATCTGACTTACAAAATGCCACTTTATATATTGTGCTTTTCTTGGATTTTCTTTGTTTCTTAGCCAAGATTTTGCAAGAAAATGGGTTCTTTGAAGTAATGCTGTTTAAGGTTTGAGCAAGAGATCTGAAGGAAGAGCGAGAGAGAGAGAGAGAGAGAGAGAGAGAGAGAGAGAGAGAGAGAATGGAGAATTTGTTTTGGGTTTGAGAGGAGAGAGAGAAGGGGGAGAAGGGTTTTTTCTAGGGATTTTGGAGATGTGTGTGAAGAAGAGAAATAATGCATCAAAAGACAGCTAAATCACAGCTCAATGCCCACCAGATTCTCTCTCTTCTTCTTTTTTTTATTTAAAAATTTATTTTATATAATTTTTAAAAAATAATCTCATTATATGCAACTTTTATATGAATTTCTTTCTCACAACAAGCAACCTTTATTCTTTATTTTACCTCCAAAAAGGAAAATACTTTAATTCTTTATTTTGAATAATTTTACATTCAATTCCTTAACTACTCTCCACTCCATAACTAAACAAAATAAAAAATTTTATTATTTTTTTCTTTTATCCCTACACTAATCATATCCCATTCAGCTTCCACTTTTAATATAATTGAAAATTTTTAAATTAAGGCTAATTATTGTCCATCATTTAAAAATTAATCAATTAATTAAAAAACAATTGTTAATTATGTAGTCGGTGGTACCAAATTCCGGCTGGGTTGACCGTTTAAAAAAAAAACGGATTGGGCCAGTAGCCGGTAGATGGATGACATCACGAGAAGTTTGTGAAATTTGCACGAGAAATTGGTAAATTGATGGGTGGTGGACTCTGGACGAGACTTGTGAGTGTGTGACAGTGAGGATTTTAAATCCACCATCGAAGCGGCAGTGAGTGGTGGCGGTAGTGGTGGTGGCAGTGGTGGAGGTGGAGTCATTTTGTTGGTCCGTTTTGTCAAATCAAATTACTTCTGGAATAAATGAAACTGCTAGTGAGTAGTGAACGAGTAACATCTTTTGGTCAATGACGTTATTGTCCCTTTCTCAGTCTTTCGTCTTTTGTTTTTTTAACATTTTCTTCATTCATTCCCTCTGCGGTCCCACTCTCACTTTACCTTACAACTAAAATTTTTTACCGTCACTTTCACCAATTTTTTGGGTTGTAGGTAAATATGGGATTATTGCATTACAGGCAAGTAGCCAGGCAATGTACATTGTACATGTATTTGTTGTCAATTCTGATTTGTAAATTTCTTTCCTTTTAAAATATTAATTGAGTTTGAATTTAGCAAAAAAATTACTAAAATATTTAAATATATAAATTATATTTTGCTATTTTATCAATTTTATATTTGGCATGCAAGTAATATAGAAATTAATGTGAAATATTTATATGATATTATTGATATTATAATTTTATAATAACTAAAATTAGCTAAATACAAGGTATTCCGCCAACTCATATTATTGAAGAAACACGTTTTCTAGAAAGAAATTTTATTGGCTACGAACTAAAAAAGAAAAATAAATACTTGTCTTGAAATATATGAAATTAGTAATGTGAAATGTATATAGCATACTATTAATGATAACAAAATTAGCAAAATACAGGGTGTTGCTTCAACTCAAATAACTGGAGAAACACGTTTTACAGATAACTTATCAAATATATACTATGAAATTAATAAAATAACTAAAATTAGCAATTATAAGAAGATTTATCATACAATTTATCAGGTTTAACTAAAAAAAAGAAATTAGATTCTTATTTTGGAATATACAAAATTAGTGATGTGTACCATTATTTTGAAAGGAAGGTGATATCATATTTTCCAAAAAAAAAAAATACTTTCTTTTTATTTGAAAATATTATTTTCAAATATTAATTTTTATTTATAATTATTGTATAATATGAGATAAAATACTTCTTTATTTCATATATCAATTTTTAAAAATTTAATAACTCATAAACTCAATTTTTTTTGTAAACACTCAAGTGTTTAGACTGTGGTATAAAATATTAGGATTTTAAACTTTTGTAAACGGTCAAAAAATTATTTGACAAAGAATTTATTAATATATAAAAACAATTGTTGAATAAATAACTTTACTTTTTCGTTATTTTAATTTGCAGCACATTTAGTTTTTACGTAACGCATTAAATACTTCAACTTACAAATTATATTAATTAAACACCTATAAAATTTTTTGAAATTTTATGAAAATATTTATTTCAAAAATTATATTAAATATATATTAAATTAATATTTTTACATATAAAAATTTAAATACACAATAAATTATTTATAAAATTTAACATGCTATAAAATTAAAATTATAAAATTGACTGGTGAAAATTTATATATTCGACCAAAAATTACTATTTTGCAATCTCTTAAGCAGCAGTATTCGCAGTCTAGTCTACCCTTTGCGTAATTTCATACATTACGTCTTTGACCACTGAAACCCTTATTCAAAGGATTATAACCGTTTAGGGGTAAACTATAATGGTAAATCCATTGGTTTGTGACACGTGGGAGGTAACTCTATATGGTAAATATTAAGGAATATTTATTTCATGTCAGTGAATTGGGTAAATATCATACTAATAGTATTTGCACAAAATATTCTATATGCGTCTAAATATTAAGGAATATTTACTTTCCATGTCAGTGAACTTGGGTAACAATATCCATACTGCACATAGGTATTTGCACCAACAATATATATATATATATTATATATATATATTCATATATATCATAATATATATATATATATATATATATATATCATCACTATAAGTAAACGGGTTAATATGATAGTTCCAACCTAACCATTCTGACTTAACAAAAAAAAATTCTCATGACAACCTTACGAACTTTTAAAAGATTCAACCCGATCGGAAGAGTGAACTGTCATTTTCTGATCAATAATTTTAAACCCTTCTCACACTCCTAAAGTTTTATTAAGGTATATATCATACTAATAGTAACGGTTTAATATATAGTCCAACCTCCATTTTGATTAAAAAAAAAAATTTATGAAACCTTAAATTTTAAAATCAACCCGATGGAAGAGTGAATGTCATTTATTATAATAATTTTAAACCTTCTCACACTCCTAAAGTTTTAAGATTTTATTTTTTATATTCAAAATATTGAATTAATGTATATTTAATATAACTTCTGAAACAATAATTTTTATATTTTTTAATTATTTAAATAAATTTTTAATCGATTTAATTTTATAAATTGAAGTATTTAATGAGTCAATTAAAATATCTAATAAATGTAATTTGTTAAATTAAAGTATTTAATAAATTAAATTTAAAAAAATTAAAGTTGCTATAAAATTGTTGGTAAAAAATACTGGGCTGAATTTATGGATGGAGCCTAACATTGATAGAAGAATCCTTTGACGCACAGCATTACAGTCACGGATTCAACTTCAATAGCATCGTAGTCAACATCAACTGCATGCTTCCGGAAATAATGCATTAACACCCAAAATTGATGTGTTTTTTCAATTTAACCCATTGAAAATGAAATGTGCCTTTTCTTTATTTTCTTTATTTTTTTTTTCAACTAAATGTGTTCTTTCTTTTCCTTTTTCTTTATTTCTTTATTTTTGTTAAATAATAAAAATGACAACAATGCTGATAAGACTTTTGTCTAATGACTAACTTGGAATTCTTAGATTCCAATTGGATTTCTAATTTTCTATGACCTTAGATTTAAATATATTTACAATTTCCAATTTGATAATTTTAGCCACAATAAACATTTGGTCAAATATATGATATTCATGCATGAATGGATGCATTTAACTAATATCTAATTTGTAAAATAATTTTCAGATTGAATTTTAACTATATAAAGGATAAAAAAATAGTCTATGGAGTAAATAATTGAAATTAATATTAAAAATTATTGAAATTAAATTATTATTTTTAAATTTTACTTCTCTTTAATAGAATTATTTTTAAAGAATGCGCTCTCTTGTTTAAGAAAAAATACAAAATTTTAAAAATAAGCTTTTTTATTAATTAAATAGGAAAGACATAACACTAGGCCTCTATTAGAAACTTGATATATTTCTTTACAAAATTATTACATTTAAAAAAAAAAAAAGATTAACTTATATAAACCCACATATTTTTGTAACTAATGAAAAGTCACGCATCATATAAATTTAATAATTATTTATTTATTTGACACCAAGACATAGCCTAATGATAAGTGTATGTACGACCCGACAATAGATTCAGGTTTGAATCACCTTCTCCCAATATTCAAAAAAAAAAAATTATAAAAGCATACTGATCAAAATATATATAATTGATACATAAATTTCATTACTCTAAAAATAAATTTATATTCAATTAAAATTACGTTTTTTATTAGTAAAATAAAAAAAAATACATAGGGTAAAAGACATGATTCACTCTTTCACCCAGAACTAACCTATATAGCCGATACACACTTTTCGTTCCTCTAAAACAAATTAATATTTAATTTGTTATTTATTTTTATTAGTTAAATAAGAAATACATAGGGCAAAGAGTATGATGCACCCTTTCGCAGAAAGCATGATAATTTTATAAAAGCATACTAGCCAATATAGATGATACACACTTTTCACTATTCTTGAAATAATCTTATATTCAATTAATTAATTTTTTGTTAGGTATATAAAAAGTACATAAGGTAAAGAACGTGATTCACTCTCTCAAAACACACATGATAATTTTATAAAAATATACCAACCTATATAATCCATAGACACTTTTCATTACTCTAGATATACTAAAACTCGTTCCGTAATAATTTTTCATGTAATATCTAATATTTTGACTAAAGTCAAAGCTATCTCTATTATTTATATTGTTTGATAGCATAATTATCTTTTTTAACCGTTTGACAGCATAATTATTTTAAACAGTTGGCAGCTATTAAGAAATATTTTTTAAAAAAGAGGCGTTAACAGCTGATAAAATAATTAATTTTATTTAATATACCTAAACTATAACTAAAACACATTTTCCGCAGTACTCTAGAAACACGTTTGTATTTGGTTGGCTAATGGGTACTATATGAGGCAGCAATTTGCCACCTTAGAAGGTCTAAAGTCTAGTGGATATTATCAAATCATAAAAGCCAATCACCGATAGTTTACCCATTCAAATACTAATCTCCGCTCATTATTTTGAAATTGGGACTTCACATTTTGGCGTAAGGAAATGGCCAAACATTGC